AATAATATTGTTATCGATAAGGTTTTTGCTTATAATGTCGCTGTTGAAATAATGCAACAAGATGAGGATCTTGAACCAAAATCCGTCGATGAATTTAGACAGAGAAATGATTGGCCAAAATGGAAAGAAGTTATCCAGGTAGAATTAACTTCACTTGCAAAATGTAAAGTTTTTGGGTCTGTAGTCCAAACATCTAATGGTGTTAAGCATGTTGGCTATAAATGGGTCTTTGTACGTAAAAGGAATGAGAAAAATAAGGTACAAAGATATAAGGCACGTCTTGTTGCACAAGAATTTTCACAAAGGCCTGGTATCGATTATGAAGAGACGTATTCTCCTGTTATGGATGCTATAACATTCCGTTATCTCATTAGTTTTACTGCCCATGAAAAACTTGGCATGCGTTTAATGGATGTGGTCACAGCCTAGCTTTACGGCTCACTTGATAATGAGATATACATGAAAATTTTCGAGGGATTTAAAATGCCTGACGCACATAATTCAAAGTCCCGGAAAATATTTTCAATGATATTCCAAAGATCTTTGTATGATCTAAAGCAATCAGAAAGAATGTGGTATAACCGCCTTAATGAGTATTTATTAAAGAAAGATTATATAAATGATGCCATTTGTCCATGTATTTTTATAAAGAAAACAACATCAGAGTTTGTTGTACTTGCTGTATATATTGATGACATAAACCTTATTGGAACTCCTACAAAAGGCAATTGATTATTTAAAGAAGGAATTCGAGATGAAAGATCTCGGAAAGACAAAATTATGTCTTGGTTTTCAAATTGAACATTTGGCAAACGAGACTTTTGTTCATCCATCTACCTACATAGAAAAGGTATTGAAATGGTTTTACATGGATGGAGCACATCCATTAAGTACTCTGATGATTGTTCGATCACTTGATGTGAATAAGAACACGTTCCGACCTCAAGAAAAGAATGAAGAGCTTCTTGGTCCTGAAGTACCATATCTTAGTGCAATTGGTGCACTAATGTATCTTGCTAACACTACAAGGCCTGACATAACTTTTTTAGTTAATGTCTTAGCAAGATATAGCTCTGCTCCTACAAGGAGACATTGGAATGGAATCAAACACATATTGCGGTATCTAAAAGGAACTACCGATATGGGATTATTTTATGGCAATGATTGCAGTCCCGATCTTGTTGGTTATGCCGATGCTGGGTATTTATCTTACTCACACAAGGCTCGATCTCAAACAGGCTATGTGTTTACATGTGGAGGCACTGTCATATCTTGGCGATCGACTAAGCAATCAATCGTGGCTACTTCATCTAATCATGCTGAGATAATTGCTATTCATGAAGGAAGTCGAGAATGTGTTTGGTTGAGGTCTATAATACATCTTATTAGAGACAAATATAGTTTGAAGTGTGACAAACTACCCACAATTTTGTATGAAGGCAATGCAACATGCATAGCCCAACTGAAGGGGGTATTCATAAAAAGAGATAGGACAAAATACATTTCATCAAAGTTATTTTTCACACACGATCTTCAAAAGAATGGTGATATCAATGTGCAACAGATTCGTTTGTTCACCAAATCTCTACCGACGTCAACCTTCAAGAAACTAGTATACAAGATTGGGATGCGATGACTCAAGGATGTGAATTGATGCTCTCATCAGGGGGAGTTAATACGCGTTGTACTCTTTTTCCCATACAAGGTTTCGTCCCACTGGGTTTTCCTTGAAGGTTTTTAACGAGGCAACCAAAAGGTATATTTATAAACATGTGTACTCTTTTTCCTTCACTAGAATTTTTTAGAGGGTTTGTCCTAATAAGGATTTAATGAGACACATTATCTATGGACATCCAAAGGGGAGTGTTATAAGAAAAATTAAATTATGGTGGATGTCTACTCTTCCTCCATGATCTTCATCTCAAATGCTTAATGACATATTCAATAACATATTTTTCTTCACTTTTTATGCCTATATAAAGGTCTTGTAATAGATAGGAAAATACACACAATTGAAGAAGAAAATATCTTCCTTCTCTCTATCTCTCTATATCTCTTAGCTTATTTTTTCTTGTTATATATTGTTACTTTGAGCTATATTTTATAACAATAATCATTATATATGATTATATGCATATTGTTTTATCATATTTTAAGTTTAAACTCTTGGATAAGCGGCTATTTTAGTTAATTCTTCATATTAAATTCTGGGATACAATTTAGGATTACATTAGTTAATATCGCTATAATTTTTATATTAAAATTTTAATATTAACTTATCCCATATAAGGTATGGATAACAATTTCAAATTTTAATTCTAGGATTATTAATTCCTGAATATCCCAGCGTGAAACTAAGCAACCCCTTGGAAGTATTAAAGGTCAATAATTGGTATCAACTAAAATATCTTTTTATGTATTTGACTTAAAAGTTAAATATTTTTAAAAGGAAAAGGATAATATTTGTATTCTGTAAGAGTGTCGGTGAGTTCTATCCGCTTGTTTGGATAGTTGTTACATATCGTTTCTTAATGTTCGTATTATATTATATTATATTTTAATAAATAGAATATTTGGATAGATGATGTTATTTTTTATCACATTTCATAATATCACACACTAACAATTTGAAGAATAAACTTATAACATTATAAGAAAAAAAGTAAAATGTGAAAGACACAATTATTTAAAAAGGCAGGGGTCTTTTCATCGTTATCAAAATAGACATTATACGTAAAGTGACAAAACAAGCTGCAAAGGTCAAGCGGGTCGGATTGCTAAAGTCAAATTTATGCCTTTAGCTAAGAATGTCATTATAGAATATTGTTTCTTCACCTAAGGTAACTGTTTATTAGCTCTTGCCTAGATTTTTCATCATCCAGCCAGTTTACTTCACAGGCTGTATTTAGTACTCAATGTGATTTCTAATAAACCACGGATTTGCTTTGTTTGATTACTGCTTACTTTATCGTTATATTCTTTGGTTTCTCAAAAGATTTGTCTTGGACCAAATTATACTAAGTAAAGGTTGCAGTTGTTTCTACATTTTCTTGTCTTACATTGCACTTGAAGGGGAGCCTTAGTGCAATCGTAAAGTTATTTGCAGCGTGACCTTTTCGTGTTCGAGCCGTGAAAGCAGTCACTAATGTTTGCATTAGGGTAAGCTGTCTAGATCACGCGGCTATCCTTTTACATTGCACTTGCATAGTACTTGAAAGGGAGACTTGGAGCAACTGTAAAGTAGTGTTAGAGCCGTAGAAGCAGCCACTAGTGTTTGTATTACCCTAGGGTAGGATGTCTACATCAATACCCTTGAGGTGCGACCCTTTCCCGCACCCTGCGTGAACGCGAATGCCTTGTGCACCGGCTGCCCTTTCACATTGCACTTGCATAGCAGTACTGATTTGTGGAGGGATAATCAAGTTTACTATAGAAACTGCCTGGTGCACAAGTTAATTTGTAGCATTGTAGAAACTGCCTTGCATAGCAGTACTGATTTCTTGAGACAGGCAGTTTGTAATTGTTGTACTGATTTGTGGAGGGATAATCAAGTTTACTAAAAAATTCCATTAAATTCTTCTCTATTAATTTCACTAGAATTACAAAATACAACTTTCGTAATCTGGGGATATTCTGAGCTTGATGCTGAATTGATTTAGGAGTATTGCCACTATCTTAATCCAGCCATCTATCAAAAAATCAAAGAGGAAATTCAAGTATATATGGGGGTGGGGGAAGGATTATAGTACAGCAAAAAAGAACTAGCCCCATTGTAGGGAAGATCATTTAGAATGGCTAAAACAATTAAATTGGTTTCTCTAGGGCTTGACTGTTGTATAATGTTGTTCTTGTTGCAGTTGTCAACAGACAGGAAGATCTACTGGAGGAGCCTCCAATGATTCCAATTCACTAACTCCGTTTTCGACGATGAACGCCATGCCCAAACCCCAGCCAATGTGAACATCCAAGTGACAGTGCATTAGCCACACTCCTGTTTTAAGTTAATATTGTAAGTTAATTTGTAGCATTGAAATGTGACATGCTATAGAAAAGCGCTGGAGATAGTTAGAGATATAAGTACTTGTTTCACTATCGATTTCCGTTACCTGGATTGTCCGCAACGAATCTGATAACTGCCCATCCTTTGACGGGTACACTGGCCGTGTTCCTGAGAGGTGGATCAACAAGGTTGAATTTAGCTGCATCTCTTTTTGGATTAAAGTTACCGAAACCCTCTGCAATGATGTAAAAATCATATCCGTGAAGATGAATTGGGTGGTTTTCAGCTGTGAATATACTTGTCCCCTGTAACACAACTTGCACTCTTGCCCCATATTTCAGCTTGTACAGCTTTGTTCCTCGAATAGGTTGCCATAGTGACCGGCTTACATTGCCTGTATAATCAAATTTTACAGGTGGTTTTGCTGGAAAATCAGTTGAGAATACACCAGGTATGCCTTGGTGATGTGCTTGTAGCAGTGAAAAGTTGGATGGTAGAACAAATGATACGTTGTTCATACTGGCAGTGAATCTAGTTCCATTTGGACCTTGACAGTTTCTGGAGCGAGCGCCTCTTGGGCAGTTGTTGAGTCCTAGCCCAACAGTGAAGAACAGATTTTCGTCGATATCAGTGGGCACCTCGACCTTTCTTGGGCTTCTGAATTTGGTTGTGAAGGCTGTTGCAGTGGCCGTGTCATTATATGCTGGTAAAGATGGGGAAACTGGATTTGTCTTGACACAATTCAAAGAACAAGAAGATGTCTTGTACTCAAGGATGGCAGTGGTAGTGGTATTATCAAAAGGGGCGCCTTGAGCACTTGCGTAGGCACGTGCTGCCATGTAGTATTTGGCTGGTTGCTGGTCGGCTTTGATCAGGACATCAGTTGTCTGGCCTGGTCCGAGCATAAGGACTGATGTTGTGAAGGGTTTAACATAAGAGGCATCTGCTCCAACAACAGTAAGCTTGTGGTTGGCCACAGTAAAGAAAAGTTGTTGATTGAGTGCAGCATTGATAACTCGGAGGAGGTTGGTTTCGCCAGTGTCCACATGGACTGTGGTGGTATCTGCATTAACATGATTTCTATGTAAGTGAACACTAGTGTAACATGGTTTGGTGGAAATTAGGCTTTATACTATGTGTAGACTTTCTTCTATAATTTGATATTTTAAGAGTATTAGATGGTTTCATTCTTGGTACTTCAAATATTTTGAGATTAGAACTAACCTTTACTTGAACACTTGTAGAGATCACCTGGTTGACCATTGATGGTGTATGCATCAGATACATTTGGAGCTGCTCCTGTTCTTGTTGCTCGTCTTACAACGTCAATAGGGTTTGTATCCCACCACTCACCTAATCATCATCGTCAAACTATCATTTCAACGAAATTTCTAAAAAACAGAATATATGAGAAAATGCATAACTAGTACTATTTGTTTTCAGAAATGATCAAAGCTTTTGGTATTGAAGAGAAGGTAGAAGTAGTACCAAGCATAATTGGTGTTTCTCTTTTGGGCTTAACAAATGGATAGGATTCTCCTTCTTTTGGATGGATTATTAGAGCTCCATAAACCGTAGCCCTGAGCCACGAGCTGTGAGCATGCCACCAGAGAGTTCCTTCCTGTCCTTGAATTGTAAACTGGTAAGTGTAACTCTTTCCTGGTCTAATCGGACACTGAGTGACAAATTCTGGTCCATCTGCCCATCCTGTTCTCATTTGCCTTACTCCATGCCTTTTGATACACAACAAAGTAGCATAAAAATGTCAAAGAAAATGCCATTACATATAATCGCTTCTATTTTATTTGCGTAACATATATCAGTTAATCTGAGTTCTGCATGCATCAATTTACCAGTGAATAGTGACATTATATCGAGCTTTGTTGACAACGTTTACAACGAGAGTGTCCCCGTTGTTTACTTCCAGTGTTGGTCCAGGGAATTGTCCGTTCACCGTTATGGTGTTGTGAGTTTTGCACAGCCTCTTCACTGGTGTTGCTTGAATCTGTTACAAAAAGCAGAGGTCAGTATCATATAGTTTGTAACATTTACGACATGTTAGGAAATTTAATGAATGGAAATCTTGGATAGCTTACAACAAAATCATGGTAGTGAGTTTTCGCAGATGCCGCATTTGCCGAGAGAAGCAAAATGCATATAAAGAAGAAAGAACTCAAAGGGTTGGCAATGCTTTTGAAAGCCTCCATTTTTTTTCCTTCTCTTAAAACTCTTTCTGAGTATTAGTAGATGCAATTCAATGGTTGTTTGTGAATTGAATCTATGCTTTTATAGGGAGAAAAGAAGAGAGAACTAAGTAGTCTAAGGTTTGACAGATTATGTTTTCAAAACTTAGTTCAACCCTGTAGAAGGTGTTGGTTCAACCACTTAGCCTATCTCTAACTGCAGTAATTTTCATGAATAATGCTTACATTATAAGACTTTTTCTTTGAGTTTGTTATATTCTCAATTTTCAAGGAAACATCATTTTTATGGTTTTTGCTTAATACTAACGATGTGCTGTTATCCAACAAACTTTGGTGTTATGATTATATACCATGTATCCTGGCTAGTCTATCAGAAAACTGAAGGAAATTTCTGCTCTTTGTTAGATAACTGGCAGTTTATTTAATTTATGACATCAAATTACTATATTAGCTAAAGCTATTGTGATATATAAGAAATAAATATACCGTAGATTATATTTCAAATCCAACGAACCAGTAGCTGCAAACCATAATTTGCATTGCTTATTACTTCTTAAACTCTAAAAAGCAGTGACCAAGAATTGGTTAAAACGTAAAAATCTATTAGTAGGTCATAGAAGTCATAGGTTGGTGTCGCACGACAAGATCTTTACTAGAATTAGAAAAAAGAAATAAATTTTGAAGGTTAGGCTTATTACTCCTATTAGATACTTGAATATGTATTTGGATTTGGACGGGAATTTTGGCGCACTAATAAAAAATTGTATCATGTGACTAGAAAGTCGCGGGCTTAAATTGTAAAAATAATATTACTGTGGCTACGTGCATAACACCCAATACGGTCCGGGTCTGACCCTTACTTCCTCGAGTCATGCGCATAGCAAAAACTAGTGCACCAAACTGCTTTATTTAAAAATAGATAAGGGTAGCTCGGTGCACAAGGCATCCCACGTTCACGCAGGGTTTGAGGAAGGGCCACATCCCAAAAGAATATGATATAGACAGCCTACCATAATGCAAATATTAGTGACTACTTCTGCTGCTCGAATCCGTAACTTTATATCGCGTAGAGACAACTTTACCGTTATTGCATGGCTCCTAGACTCTTTTATTTTAGTGGAAGTAAAATATGCTACTAACCCAAATTGGATGAAGTCTAGAGGGTGAAATCAAAGATGGCAAAAGGTCATCTTCAGTTTGTTGTGTCTAATAAAGTACTCGGTTAAAGATGTGATTGGTTCTGTATTCTAACTAGAAATTTAGTTAGAGAAATCTAAAACGACAAGCCTTAGATTTAATAAATGATGTGCTTAAGTAGGTGGTCTGTCAAAAAACCACATTCCCTCATCCTTTGACTTCTTCCTTTCTCTTTTTCTTTTTTTGCACAATTGAAAAGGAAAAGTTCTAAAGACGTACTTACGTACGTTATGTCAGCAATTTGTGCTTATACAGAGCCAACGTGTTATATTATTTTTATTCTTTTTGTGTTCTAGAAGTATATCTTCCACACACACATATATATATATATATATATATATATATATATATATNCTGGTGCGGACTACAAATGATAATACCCCGCATTTGGTGCTACTAATTCTGTGTGAGGGGCAGATGTAAATTGTAATTTGTAGGTAATATTTTATTGAGTTAAATTAATCTTTTTAAAAGCATATAATTTGTGCTAACTCTGAATTTATTACTGCAAAGAGAAATAGAGGGAGCAGCTGTTATTAACTTTTTGAAAGTTTTTACTATTTGATGAGTCAAACAAACTTTTTCATATCTTTTTAAAAATTTATAAAAAGCTTAATTCGGTACTTTTATCTAGTTTGTACTTTTGTAAATTACTTTATATAAAAATTTAAAATAAAAAGAAGTAATGCTCAAAATGATATAAAAATTGAAGGCTTGACTCCTCCTTAGGCTTTCATTCTTTTTCAAAACGAAGATCAATCTACATGCCAAATCTTTGTCTTTAAAGTTTAGGATTATTTGAACTTCATCAATTTGTTTCAACTCGGTCCAAGAGAGTGGTCAAGAGAAGCCATAATCAAATCATAACATGAATTGGTAATTTTTTAGCCTTATATTAGGTTTGGCAAAGATAGCCCCAAACAATTGGCATTATATAGTCAAATCTTAAAAAAACTACTCTCTTTTATATTCTCTCTCAAAAAAAAACACGCTTATTTTGGCTTCACATCCCTTTTCTCTCCTTGTATTTTTTCTTCTATCTCTTCTCTTTTTTCTCATAGTTTAGCAAAAATTCTTGCAAATTATGCAATAAACAATCAGTGGGATAAAAAGGTAAGGTTGATCTCACATCAGAGAAAATCAGAAGCAAAAACTAAGAGAGAAAAAATATATTTCAACTTTGTTTTTTTTCTATCTTCTTTTTTAGGTTGGATTGAATAAGTGGGTGTGATTGAAATTAGTTGAAAATACCTAAACGAGGCTATATACAAAATTTGAGCAAAATTAGCAAAAATTAAGAGAGAAAAAATATATTTCAACTTCAATTTTCTTCTCTCTTCCTTTTTTTGTTTGGATTGAATGAGTGGGTGTGATTGAAATTGGTTAAAAATTCGTAAACAAGGCTATATACAAAATTTGAGCAAGATTAGAAGTGATTTAAACTGGTTTCTGGTAAAATATCAGACCTAAAAATCCAACTGTGACATGTGTATATCACGTTGTATATCGTGTAGATCAACACAAGTTTTTAAGGACGTCTGTATATATTACTTTGTATATCGTGTATACAACACAATATTCTTATGGACGCCCGTGTATATCACATTATATATCGTATATATAACACAAATTTTCATGGATATACACAGACACACATAATATACATGAGATATCACTGATGCACATAAAGATATACATGGGTTACAATAGGGGATACACATGTGGAGCCATCTTGAACTTGAATTTTCAATCTGAGATGTGTTATACAAAGAAGGAAAATAAAATTTTAATAAAATTTTTTGATATACACATTATTATTATGTTATACATTGTGATATACAAATAATATAATTATTAATTATTGATCAAAAAAGAAATTTTTTTTTATATAGCATGTTTAAGCAAGTTCTAAAATATAAAAATAATAAATATAATTGCAGGAGTAAATAATATTTTGGTATACAAAGAAAATTAATTTTTGATATACACAAAGAAGAAAAATAAACTTATGATATCTATTTTGGTATACACATGTCTGATGTGCTATACACTGTGATATACAAATAATACAATATTTTTATTGTGATATACATTGATATAAAGGCAGCAATAACTATATATATAATTTTATATTATCGATATACAAAGAATAATATTATTTATATACAAAGAATGAAAATAAAATTTTAATATACATGTTGATATAGACAAAGAAGAAGAAAAAAGTTGTGATATGCATATTATTATTGTGATATATATTTATTGGCTATTTGATGCCAATATCTATAACTAGGGCTATTTTCTGCCAATTATATGGGTATGTTGTTATACCATGCCAGAACCCCTTCTGCTTTTGTCTACTTATCGACGGATCCAAGATCTTCAATCTATGGGTTTAGAACTCAAATTGCAAAAAAACAAAACAAGGTTGTCCTTGGATTTGGGCTTCAAATCGTTCTTCTTATGGAATCAAATTGGTTTCATGGGCTAAGTTGTTCCATTTAGGGATTTTTTCTTTCTTATACAATATTTAAAATTTATTTACCGAAATCGTCTTAGTTTTGTATATTACCCACCCTATACAAGGATTACTTATAAATTATATACAATCCATTATTAGTACCTTAAATTAGGGGATTTAGTTTTCTCCTCTCCTCTTTCCTTATTTTTCTGCCGCCTTAATTGCTTGTAACATTTTCTTAGTTGTCACCGTCATAAATTATGAATATTTAAAAAGTTACTGGAAATTTTGTTTAATATTTTTTTCACCGGACTTGCATTTAATATTACTCATATTTTAATGAGCTGCAATCGCATGTATTTTGTATATGATTTGTATATATTTTATATGTGGTGTGTTCTTCTTCCTCTTTGAAATTTCAATTAAAATTTTCTCTCTTAATATAATTTTGATACATATCAACAACTTTATGTAAAAAAATAGTATTTATAACTTAAATATAAATTTCATATAACGATTCATACATTATACAACTATTTTTCAACTTTCATACAACATTCAAATAAAAATATATATAACTACAACAGAATACTACTTAAATACAATTTACATACAATTATAATCAACTTTAATGCAATTTCGTAAGTACATTGTATGATATGTGTTCTTC